TAAAAGTCAAAGAAGTTAATTCATTGCCATAATAGCACTTCACTTATAATAAACGGTAGATAAAAGTTATGATAAATACGTTTCAGTACTAATGACACTTAAAACATACACACACACACATACATACATACATACACACACACAAATTAAAAACAGTTAGCTTGTATAAATAAAAATTCAATTTATTATCACAAAAAAGTAGAAAACAATTACAAAACCCTATCCTATATCCTAAAAACGACAGAATATTCTTACGACTCGTCCCTAAAGTATATTTCCGGCGCTCTCTTCATAATAATCTGTTTCGTGAAACTCTGTGTCGTATTAGTGGACAGGGATTTCAGACCCCCATTGGGCGGTGTAGTGTTGGGCGACCCGTCCCACCCGTTCCAGTCGATGACCGCCAGGTCCAGCTGGTGCCTGAGCGCCTGTCCCGGCGACACCCGATTACTACCGGTGCCCACGGATGGCATAAAGAGTTGCGGCAATAAATGGGAGAAACTTTTGCGGAAAGTGACGATCGGATTGATGGCTGAGTTGGCCGATGCAAACAACTATGACCAGGGTATTAATGATATGAATTAATTATGAGGGTCAGTTATTTAATAAACAGTTTGTTATTAAAAATAATAATAACTAATCTCAATGGATTATGATTATAAAATCATGTATTACCTGTGCTAGAAAGCTAATATCTTGGTACCACCTTGGTAATAACTGTAATTAATAAAAAAATAAAAATTTATTTAAACAAATCAAAATATTTAAACCATTTATATTTAGGTAGCTACTTATCACTGATAAGTTATCAATGAATGTAGTAATATTTTAACAACCTTATCTGATTATACAAAATTAATTTTAAAAATACAAACTAGAAACTATTTTATTAATAACTTTACTAAATTATGGAAAAACAATTGCCAGGGTAGTATAATAATAAAATTTGCTTAAAATTAAAACCTAAAACAAATGCAAACCTCTGACTGCCAGTGAAATCGGCGATAATAGACGAGTACTTGCAATGGGAACCAACAGATAAGGGCTGTCAGTATATACGTTAACAGCATTTTCATCAGTATCTGCCGGTGCTTGAGTTTGACGGGCACCTGGTCCACTTTGGACAGGGACCGGGACAGTGCGTCCAACCGGCGTATGATCACCGTATATATGATGGTAATGACAATCAGGGGGAAGTAGATAAGGGGTACCATCAGGAACAGCCAGTAGTACTTAGCCACCTCCTGTTGATCCTCGGGACACCATGTCTATGGGCACCGGGAAGTTAAAAATTATTTGTTTTTGCGTTTAGATATGTTAATTATTTTTAATATTCTTGATAACTTATTAAAGTCTATTTAACTTTGGTTTATTGCTATCTTAAAGTTTTTTAACAAAATATTATTGAATGTTAACTTTATCTGTATTCTAATAAAACAAATAAATATATCCTGATATAATGTATAGTACCAGGGCCTATCAAAGATTTTTATTTATAAATACCAGTAGCATTTATAATCATGTTACTAAATAAAGTGATCGCTATCATGCTAAATGCTTATATATTATATTTGTTAAATAATACACCAAAGTTAAATCTATTAAACATTAAATTCAAACAATGGCTTAAAAACTAGAAAAACGTTTTTAGTAACAAATAAAAATCAACAAGCTAATCAACATGTTTACACAGTAAGCCTGCAATCAATGAATACAAACAACAAATTCTTGAGAGAAAACAATAAAATTCTTTACATTAGATATGAATTCTTATGAAATACACTGAAATATTGTCATATTATCTATCATTTTGGTGATACGTTTACCTGTGGGGTAATACACACATATAGACAAGGGGGTCGGTTCACTATTACGTACCTCCAGCACATCTAGCCATTGTCTCTGCTTGTATATACGCCAGTAACATAGTGGACTGGCCAGGGTGATGGCTATGGCCCATATGGCGGTGGTTATGATACCCGACTGTTTCCGATTCATGTGACCCCTCAATGGATAACATATTGCAATGTATCGGTCGATGGATATCGTCATCAGTGATAACACACTCGACAGCAAACACAACACTAATTGGGAAATAATTTTAAGATTATCATAGGTTTTATCTAAAATAAAAAAATTTATTATTTTGTATGCTTTGCGTACTTTTAACAAAGCCGTCCATTTGGCATATGAAAGGTCCCAGCTCGTAAAATTGGTACACATTGTTTACCAGGGCTACCCAGGGGCAAAATCTTTGAATAGAAATATTATTGTGAGTTCATTAAATTAAACATTATTTTAAAACTCATAGGCAAATGCTAAAATACATGCATTTTGACATAGTTATTAAAATCACAATTATTGGGATAATATTTTTACAGTTTCTAATGCTTTCGCAAATTGCTTTAAAAAACTTATTAAATTTATTTGTAGATTTTTAACCATGATAAATATATAAATTTTAGAGAGTATCCGGTTCAAAATAATTATAATTCTAGGCGAGTATATGAGCCTGATGGTCTTATGTTACTGAAAATAGGGATATATGAAAAATAATTGCTTACAATGTAGTGAGTAAATCGGCAATAGCCATATTTAAAATGAACAAGTTGATATGCGATTTTCGTAGGGCGTGCAACCTCAATATTAGCGCAATAACAGCGAGGTTGCCAAATATGCCCACAATCATCACCGGTATAATGGCCAGGGATTTCACGGCGACATTCCAATCGGGCAGCCTATACCACAACGACCCATCACCATCACTGAAATTGCACCTGGAGAAATTAAACTTATCCGGGTCAAAGTTAAGCAGTTTGTCAATGTCACTTTCGTTGTGTAAATTTTGCGGACAAAATACTGAGTCCGTGTTATTTGTCGCGTTAAACGGTACGTCAGTTATCGCGTTAAACAACATTTTAATAAATGTTTTTTCTAGGGGATGCCCTAGTTGTTTTATATTTGTGTAGTAATATAATGTTTGTATAATATGTGTAAATATTTTTTCGTTCACATAATCACTAGTTTGTTATAATCCATAAACATATTAGTAATAATAATAGGTATTAGGTAATCCATAAAATGTTTATCACTTTTTTTATATACTAGTATAAAGTCTAGTCAATAACTATTTAAACTTTTTAATTATAGGTGTATAAATATTTTTAAAAATATTTTCAGTGTTAAATTGTTTTAAATCATGATTACAAAATTAATATTTTATTTATAATCAATACACAAATCTATAAAAATATTTTATTCACATTATGATAATCGCAAAATGTACATTGATACATTGATTTGTATGTAATGTACGCACAAAACATAAGTGAAACGCATATAACAAAACACTATAGCAATAGTAATGTATAAAATTTTGTATATTGTTTTTGACAATAAAAATGTAATCAATTATTATATTATTTTGCGATAACATGTAGTGATTTACAAAAAGTGCCTAAAAGGGTGAGTATTGGTGTATTATATTAGCACAGCGTAGGTAGTGATAAAACAGCACCGGTACCACACACTTGACTAGTATCTGGTGGGTAACTAATACTCATCAATGAGATTATTGATATGAAATGCATAATACTTATTGTATAACTATCGCTGGGGATAGGTATTTATTTTATTGAATGTAAGGGGAACGGGAGGTTACATATTAAATGATCGGGGAATGTTTATTGTGCTTAGCTTAATAGTTTATAATAAATTTTCAAAAATGCTCATATATTTAAGATTAAATATTTTAAAAACTTTTAACATCAATGAAAATAGCATGTTAAATTTATTTAAAATTTTTATGTGTGGATTGATTTAAATAATAAAATTTGAGTTTATTTTGCATAATACAGTAATATAGTAAGCTTGGTGGTACAAATAAACCTTTTGTGGTACTTTCAATGTCAAGTAAATAATTATAAATTAAATCACAACTCCTGGAGAGCTATACGTTATGATAGCCTTTGGAGGGCTTTAATGATAACCCCTATCAATATAGTTATCATTAATTATTTCATATATTTTTTTTTATACAGAAACACTCAATTGACACTTACGTTTTTCATAGGAACAAGGAACATTAATTGTATAATCTGATATGCAATTGATTAAGAAATAGACAGATTATTGGATCGAGTTTGTTAGAAAACACCCACGTTGGTTTTAATTTAAATAAAAAAAATATTAACATTCTAGGACATTAATATTTTATTTTATAGTTATAGTTAATAAGCATACATTCATTAATAAAATAATAATTGTGATAATAATAATAATTATATTTATGCGACTTCTTAAATTGCTTTTAATAATAAGTTATTATCTTGCAATTAAATAAAAAATACAATTAATTGTATTACAAAGCCTATTTGACATTTTGTTTTTATTATGCACTAATTAATTTAAGTACTAGGAAAATTAATTTCATTTTATTAATTTCATATATTTTAATCAAATCCTATGTAATAAATATTATATATTGTTATTTCTATTTCTATTGATTGTTAGTAATATATTAGAGTTGAAAACAAATTAAGTTTTTATTTTGGCACTCTATGTCATTGTTAAACCATATTTTAACTCAAAGCTATTTTTAAAAATATTTTTTCAAAACATGAATAATAAACGCCAAGGAAAGTTATTTACAATAAACAATAATAGCCAATTAAATTATAAACAAGTATTTATCAACAAGATACTGCTAACTAATACAAACAATAATAGATTGCGTATTAGACGGTGGACAAAAATATTATCCATATTAATGTGCCTAGCTGGCTTTATGTATCAATCAGTGCAACTCGTTATACAATACACCAGTTATGGCACTATAGTTACGACAAATATTGAGAGAATACGGTACCCGACAATGCCCGCTATTACAGTATGTTTTCCCATATTAGTCGATAGGGTAAAGGCAGCTAAAAAATTGGATAAATTTGCTAGATTATTTAAGAGGCACCAAGGTGCTTTAGAAATTTATCGGAATACGAGTAAACCAACGAAAAGGCAAAGTTTGTTACTTTTAAATAGTTTTAGAAGTTTTGATTTGAACATGGACGAATTTGCTAATATATCTATTAGTGAAATGTTGGGTGAATTTAGCGTTGATTATAAAAATGATTTTCGTGTCGTTAATAAAGATGTTGAATATTACTATCAAATTGAACAAACATTTATTTATGTGCAAGGTTATATGATTAATGGCACATTTATCCGGATGATTGACGAGTCGCCTATAGAATCTGTTTATTTTAATATACGTGGTAAGTTAGCTAAAATATAATTACTTTTAATGATTAAGAATGATATATTATATAATTTATAAACCATGTAATTACTTTTCACTATTTATAATTTAAATAACATATTAAAATTATAATTAATTATATTCTTGCTAATTTAAATTTATGTAAACATTTATTTTAAAAATTTATTTTAATTTATATTTCATATATCAGAATATCGTTTGAAAAAGTGTTTAACATTTTTCACTGACCTGTCCAATGGCCACGTATTCAAAGGACTCGGATTATATTCGTCGTATATATGGCTACGAATCGTATTAAACGAGAGTTGGTTTCCCATTGAACTCTGGAATCGACACGACTTCACCCTAACTGTCCACTCGGCCAACGATTTGCCCGACTTTTCCCAAACGGATGTCGACTATCATATCCAACTCAACCAAACCGTTAGAGTCCAGTACTCGGAGATACAGACCCGGCTATTACCGCCTAAATATGTAACAAATTGTTACACTTATAGTGATGATAGTAACGAGTATCATGGTCGTAGGTTTGTTGGTAACACACGTAACGATTGCCTAGTTACATGTATGATTGCTCATTTTAAACGTATTTGCAATTATGAATGCGTGGACGCTAGACTGGGTCATTTTGTTAGTGATGAATATTTCCGCATAAATAGCCAGGAACGTTTATGTTAAAATATTGGTTATAAGCAAGCTTGTTTGGAAAGAAACAAGGTAATTGTTCAATTACTATGTGAGCGCCAATGTCCACCTAAGTGCGTGCAACGGCTATTTGATGTGAGCATGGACGATTGGGAAGGTAGTACAATGGGTACAAATAACACGTTAATAGTAATGATCCAGCACAATCGCAATGCCGATCAACTTATAGTACACTTACCGGAGATTAATTTCATAACATTTGTGTCCAATTTAGGGGGTCTTATAGGCATGTGGTTAGGCTTTAGCGCTATGTTTGTATTATTTTTAAATTTTATTATTAGTCACTTAAATTACTAAATAACTCTAAATATTTCAAATATTAATGTTATTCATGTCTAACATTTTTCACCGAGTTATTCAATGACCAAGTATTCAAAAAACTGCAATTATATTCATCGCATATATGGCTACGAATCGTATTAAACGAGAGTTGGTTTCCCATCGAAATGGCCGATCGAAACGAGTTCACAATAGCCGTCCATTCGGCCGACGATTTGCCAGATTTCGACGTAACGGACGTCGACTATAGAGTTAAACTCGGGAACGCCTATATAGTCGAGTACTCGGAAACACAGACCCGGCTACTACCGCCTAGTTATGTGACAAATTGTCGCACCTACACTAATACTTATCCAAATAATGACGGCAAAAATTACTCAATAATAATGCGAAATGATTGCCTTGTTAATTGTATGATCAAGGCGTTTAGGTATATGTGCAAGTACGATCGTTGTATAGACCCGCGTTTAGGTTACTTTATGCAAGCTGACTATTTTCAGCAAAACAACCATGATCGATTATGCCAAAATATAGCCACCAAACAAGCTTGCTATGAGAGAAATAAGTTACTTGTTCAATTTAAGTGCGAACTCCGGTGCCAGCCTAAATGTGTGCAACGTTTATTTACTACAAACATAGTCGATAAGATATATCATTCGCAACGTGCGAATAACACATTAAATGTAATGATCCAGCACAATCGCAATGCCGATCAACTTATAGTACACTTACCGGAGATTAATTTCATAACATTTGTGTCCAATTTAGGGGGTCTTATAGGCATGTGGTTAGGCTTTAGCGCTATGTTTGTCGGCAACTATTTCATTGAATTTATTTAATATTATTATATTTATTATCACAATTATTGTTATATACTGTATTATATTGTATAATCTATTTAATATTTATATTCCTAGTTTATTCTGTATCATTAAAATATTTTAAACAATTAATATACTGTATATTTGTACAATTATTTCATTGAATTTATTTAATAATCATTCAATATTAGTGATTATAATAATTAGATTATATTAATAGACAATATTAAACTATTAATGTACAGTACATTTGGTCAAATAATATTTCGTTTTACTTTTAGTTAATTACAAGTAAGTATAGCTATTAAACCAATTTATGAGTTATAATGAAAATGATAATTGTATTAGAAATAGCAATTGAATACAATATTGTAAAAGTCAATACTTGTATTGAAATAAAGTGTAATAATAATATTATGATATCTGTAGATGGAATATCATTTAAACACATTGCTATATTTGTCTATAGCCATAGTAATCGAAAAAGATTCATTATTAGCTTCCAAACTACGTGATTATAGTTAAAACCTTTAAACTTTGCTTTCTTATTCATACAAATATATGATTTCATGTTCAAAATAGCACATTATGTTTGAGTATTTATAAGAATTTTTATTTCTATATGAATAAGCAAGTAAAGTTTAAAAATTTTATGACTATAATCACGTAGTTTGGAAGCTACTAATGAATCTTTTTCGATTACTATGGCTATAGACAAATATAGCAATGTGTTTAAATGATATTCCATATACAGATATATGTTTTATAAATAAAATGTAATTAATTAAATTATTTTTTTGGTGAAAGCTTTATCATTTAAGATAATTATAGATAAATAAACTGTTTCCATCGTTTTATTGGTTATTACTTACAATAAAACAAAACCAAAAATTAATTTAATTATTATATATTTACTCAAAAATAATTAAATTTATTTTAAAAATTTAATAAAAGCCTCATCCACAAAGTCCGTACGCAAAACCTTGATCTAAAAT